GAAACGGCAGATTCTTGCTTAACAGAGATAGGCGGAAGTGCTAAAAAATATGTATGCATCCCACGAGGCATGAACATAGCTCCAGCCCTATTGTTTTGTAAAGACCCGATCCTCAAAACTGTTTAGGTGTGTAAGTACCTTCCAGGGATTAGCACGGTCTCTTCAATGCCTTTCGAGCCCCTGTCTAATTCCTTACGCGCAATGCCACCTTTCCTCTCATTAAAGCATTAGACAATGTAGCGTTCAAAGTCTTATCTATATTACAGTTCAGCCTGGCCTATACTAAGCCTCCATCGCAACCACCCCCTGTTGAGTTGCACCAACTGGGAATAATGGACCTGAAATTTCCCAACGTGAATTGATTTCACTACGGACGGGATTTCGGCTCCTGATGTGAAACAAGACCTAACAGACATCACATCAGCCGAAGCATTTTAGCCTCAAACAAGCTTGCCATGAAGAAAGCACTGATCCGTGCTGCTGCCTGCCAAGCTGTCAGAAACCTTCACGCTATCCTGTGTATCAGCGGTTGTCACCACTTAAAGCAGAAAAAGGCATATTTTATTAGACTCTTTCTCTGTGTTATTTCTTTTAACTGCTTCTGCTTCCTCGTCCGTGTTTGTACTTCCAGATTCTTTTGCCTTTTCCTTGTCTCATTAAATTAAGACATCAAGTCTTCCACGGTTCAGCTCCATTACCAAGTTCAGGGTCTTTTATTTAGGTAACCTCTATCCAAAGCACAGAACTGCAGAAAAAAAAGGCAATAAGGCAAGTTACTGGGCTTTTGGTTGTAGCCGTGTTGGTCGAAGGACATAGGCGGGCAAGTTTTTGAGTAGATGTGATCTCTTTTATTAGACCAACTGAGTAGCTGGAAAAAAGTTATGCACTGCCTCAATTGGTATTAACTGAGCCATTAAAATGCCAGTTTTGCTCTTGGCTTCATTTACAAATGCTTCCTCAAAATAATTTGTATTGGTGTACTTCTGTCTATCTGTGTAGATCCTACCCAAGTCTTTTTAGAAACGATGGGTGAACTTCATAAGTCTCTGAGCATCAGTGTCCATCTACACCATAATTACGTCTAATTTCTCCATTAAGTTATCATGAGTGCACGTGTAAATGCTTGATGAGACATCTGATGGGTCGTAAGCACTCAACAATGATGACAGCCACAAAAACTGCATGTACAAATGCAAATCCATGATTACGCGTGAAAACACAGGTGAATGCGCTTGTAAAAGCTATGTCTGGATGCGTAGGGGAAGGACAGTTTAATCTTCCAGATCTCGAAGAGCTGTAAAACGTTGGCTGGTACATTTTGCAACAAAAAGACCTCCCCATGAGATTTCTGACACACGCTCATTTTCACTGGGGACAGAAACTTTCTCTTGTGATATTTTGGTTGTGCTGCTTAAGAGTTTCTGCCACTTTATGGGTACAAAAACAGTGGAAGCAGGGTGGTGGATCTCAGATAGTAGCCTAGATTTGTCATGTATTTTGCCCCTCCTTCCAGCATGGCGCCCTGAATCATTGCCGATTCCACAGGTCCTTTGTGGTTTCCATGCATGGGACAGCTCTGAATTGTAGCCGACTCTCCCAGAAGCTTTGCCTGTGCTCAAAGGATGCACTAATGCAGCGCACCCCTTGTCTGCTCTGGCTGCAACTCCCACCCTATCCTAGTGTTATGGGCCAGGGCCGACCCTTTCCAATGGACAGCAGGCCACAGTTTCTTTCCACCACACCATTCTCCTTCCTAACCGACTCGATCCAAATCACAGACCTCAAACACACCTCTCCAAGCAAAACCACAGTGACTGAATTCATTTTAGTTATAGGGAAGGGACTTTTTTTGCTAGCTAGCAGAAAACAAAGCAAGAGAGAAAGTAATCCTACCCTTCCAAAGGAAACAATCCCATTTGTTACCAACAACTTAAATATTACTATTACTAGATTTAAAGGATTCCCATCAAGTTTGAAAGTCAAAGTAGAAGAGACAGAGTACAATAGCAAAAAAAATAAATAAAATAAAAATACTTGGTCAAATATATCTCTTGTCAAATGAATGGAATTACCCAGGGATTGACTTGGCCCCAGTGTCTTCATTAGATTGGCCCTATTCAAAACCAGTCTTTTGGGATTTTCTTGCATTTTAAGATGGTCTTTTTCGCTCAGCTCGCTCTATTAACAAGCTCCCTGGTCACCGTATGCGTTGCATTTTTTATGACCGGACACTTGTGAAACAAATTGCTGCAGAATTCTGTTATGTTATTAGAGTATTATACAGGCTCATTGATTTTTGGAGAGAGGACATGTTATAATCTGGTACGGTAATAACCAGAGATACATAAGAGATTAAATTCACTGACCGTTGTTTATATACAACAGACAAATGAGAATTATATCACTGTTGAGAATACAATGATTGTTCTTGTAACCAACTCCCTTTAGGTTTGGAGCCTGTAGCTATAGTTACTCCACTGATGTTACTGAACATAAAGTGTAGAAGACTGAAAAAATGTGTTGCTAGGCAGGTAATGGAAACAGATATCCTAACATTTTTGTTTCAAAGTGCTGTGAAAGTACAAGCTAGGCGTGCAAGTGGAAACATATCGCTGCAGAAAAAGTCTGATTTTTGCCATTTGTACCAAAAGTAATGGTGCAGTTAAACCCTGAACCAGAGCTTGGAATGTACATGGAAATAACTTTCTCAATACATATATACCTTTTAATTGAAAGCCTGATTTTTTCTAGACAGCTCTGCTACAGTGGAGAAGATGTTCACAGCGTTGTTAATTTTATGTGCATAAAGAAAATAGATTAAACTAGAAAATACCAAGAGATGGCCTTTTGAACAGTCTTTGCACGTCAAAAGTGAATTGCATTTACATGCATAATTTGTTGTGCCCAAAATTACTATGACTGCATACACAACTGCAATAATTATATATGCAGTTGAGACAACTTTGCACATTTAGTAATACATTTCTTGTGTATGAGTGATTCAGAATACAGATCCAACCTGTTGTAGCTGTGAAAGTCTTGGAAACATACGGGGGTGGGAAATGGTTTTTCTGTAATATTTTTCATTAGATCAATGTTATACAAGCGTTCAGGTGCAAAGTGCTCTTCTTCACATCACTTTGAGCCCAAAAGCATGTCCAATATCTTCTCCAATTAAACTAATGTCAGAATTTAGATCTTCATCTATAAAAGCCTATTTATTTAGCATAGCACTTCAGTATGTGTTAAACGATATGCGTGTATTTGTCTCTTTAATAGTTATGGGTCTAGGAATGTCGTTTTTGAATTTAAGACCTTATACTGTGACTGTAAAACCTCTGTTACCTACCAAATAATGATGACACTTAACCACTACCAGCTAGCACACTTGTGTGCTGGTTAGAGCTGGTCAAAAAACAATTTTGCAGCACACTCTGAAGTTGTTTCCTTTTGCAATGTATAACATGCATTTTTTGTGCATTTTCAATATCCTGAATTTTCATTTTCTCATTTTTTCTTACCCTGAATACAGCAAAACACATGCTAGCCAGCCCTAGAAAGCCATATTTAGAGATTAATACCTTTTCACTTTTTTGTTATGCTACTGGGTGCATCTACATATGCAATTAGCTCATAGCAATAAACTCTGGTGCAGTTTGCACCGGAGTTTATTTCTCCTGGGCTTAGCATTTACATGTGCACCTGGGACTGCAGTATGCTGAGCCAGGGCAAAGCAGCCCTGGCTGGTAGGAGGTCCTAGGTGCCAGCCTGGGGCTGCTCCTCCCCGGCTTAATATGCTACAGAGGGGCTGACTAGGACATAAGGGTGCTACAGTGCGGGGCTAGCTGGCAGGCAGCCCACACACTGTAGCACCGTCATGCCCCAGCCAGCCCCAGTCACAATCTACGCATGTGTTTCAGTGCACGTAACTCCTCTGCTGTAGGATAGTATTTGTCCTGGAAAGTATTAAACTACAGCGGAATTAATTAATTTACTGTGCCCTAATACAGGTGCCCGTGTAGACGGTGACGCTTTACTGCAAAGCTAAATAGTCAGCTCCACAGTAAAGCACATGTGTAGATGCACCCCCTGTGTAACAATTCAAAATGTCTCCAACTTTCAATAGCTACAGAACAATGGAATTAGAGAGTTTCCATTTCCTTTTGCTAGTCTCCAATTTTTCAAAATGTGAGAGTTTGGAAAATATACAGAGTGGCAAACCAAAAATGAAAATATAAATCTATAAGATGAGCAGAGCCCTTGAAACCTGAGACACAATTCATTTGATTGTAAATAGGGGGGGGAAATGAAAAAATAACTGTAGCGGGCTGCTGACTTGCAGAGGCGTGTAGAAGGTTGTACACGTCAGACTGCAGCAGTCTATAGGCCTGCAGGGGCTACAGCCCAGCTCCGGGTGGTGAAAGCTAATTGTAGGCCTGCCTGAAGAACTGATATGAATAACTGGCTGGCCCAAAGGAAGTTAAAAGGCTACCAGGGAAAGGAGCTGGGGGGACAGAAGAATAGATAGTTGGAGGTGCCAGGTGATGGCTGCAACACTGGGCCAGGGCACTTTCTTGGGGTCTGGGAGCAGCAGCAGCATACCCGGGAATGAACTCCAGAGCGAGAGGAGACTTTGGGGCTAAGAAAGGAGCAGAGAGCTGGAGTCACCTTCTCAGGGTCTGGATGAACTATGAGTTAACCCGTTGCGGACCACATTTATATTTGTTCACTGATTTGAGGATTTATGCTTATGGTGTTTCCTGTGAGGCAAGAGTGCCCAGGGAAATAAAGGACTGAGCTAAGTAATCCTCAACCCACTACCATAACAAAAGATGAAAACTAAATGCTTAAAATTTGGGGGTTTGATTCTGGTTTAAAAGAAATCCATTTGAATTGCAAAATGTTTGGAATGACAGTTTTGACCAGCTCAATGGCAGGTGTCAGCTGCTCCCCCACATACATCCCTAACTCTCCCCATATGTGAAGCCGTAGGTACGTACGTAGGACTCGCACTCCGTGCTTTAGGGCCTGCACCCGGCTGGGTTCCATGGACATGCTGAGCATCGTCTGCTGGCCTCCAATAGTGCAGACCTGGTTTTCCTGTGTTGACTGCTTGAACATGACGATGAGCTGGTTGGCAATGATGGTATTCAGCACCGAAATGACAACCATCGGGAACACAAAGGAGATGAAAGTGTTGACCTGGAGGGGGTAGAAATGACAAGACTCATATATGCTATCTTTGACCGGTGAGATTTTATGTCACATAGTTTCATAGTTGGTAGGGTCAGAAGGGACCTAAGCAGATCATCTAGTCCGACCCCTTGCCATGGGCAGGAAAGGATGCTGGGGTCAAATGATCCCAGCTAGGTGGCTGTCTGGCCTCCTTTTGAAGACCCCCAGGGTAGGGGCAAGCACCACTTCCCTTGGAAGTTGGTTCCAGATCCTAGCCGCCCTAACTGTGAAGTAGCGCCTCCTGATGTCTAGCCTGAATCTACACTCGGTCAACTTATGGCCGTTGTGCCTTGTTACCCCCGGTAGTGCTTGGGGAAACAGGGACTCTCCCGTTGCCTGCTGGTCCCCCTTGGCACGTTTATAGGCGACCACCAGATCCCCTCTCAGCCTTCTCTTGTGGAGGCTGAACAGGTTCAGGTCCCATAGCCTCCCCTCGTAGGGCCTGCCCTGCTGTCCCCTGACCATGCGAGTGGCCCTCCTCTGGACATGATATTGGATAACCAGCATGGGATGGAGAACTTTTCCATTCACTTCGGCAGCCTGTTCAGCTTTTAGAAAACAAGGCTCACTGCACAGAGGGGAACTTAAACAACAGCTAGATAAATTCAGTCAGAGAGCTGAAAATTGGATGCAAGAGGCTCAATCAATCTTTTTCCAACAATGGTGCCTTTACTTATGTCAATGCAGCTCATTGCTAGAACTGTTTTGATTTAAATAAGCCATTGATCTTTTTTCTTCCCATGACCAAACAGAATGCTTTCATCATACATGGTAGTTCTTTATCAATGATTTCTAAATAGCAGATTATTATTTTTTTTCCCTAGGCTTCCATTGGGATTTTTTTCTCAAATCTCATTCTGAATAGCAGCCTTTCCTTGCAAATTTAATGACAGCTCTTTGTTAGCCAGTGATCAGATTACCCAATAAACCTTGTGCCCCAAAGGATTAAAATTGATTGGACTAGCAAGTGGAAGTTGTATTGTTTTAATACAAGTTATTTGGTTACTGAGGTTTTGATAAAATCAGATGGAGAATCAAATTAACCAGTGATTGAATCAAGTAGAAGGCACAATTAGCATCAAATATAAACAGGAAGTCTTTGTAGACAACACAGCCTGAATGCACAAACTCATTGGGAAGTGAATTTAAATAATAACCATCTCAAGAAAATTCGAGGCATCTACATCTTTGGCACGCAATTTTGGCATGTGGCAAGGCTCTAGTAATGGGATGACAGTCTGCAACATCATCCTCTTCCACCGTGGCTCATCAGCCTTGAACAGACTGACAGAAGCAATCGCTAGAAAATGGAAAGTTTCAGCTCAAAGTTATGTGTCGCTACAAGTCAGACTAGCAAAGCTTTGTCCTTCTTCTGTAGCTGTCAACAGGAAAGTTTGCTGCATATTATCGACCACGTCTGTTATGGGCCTGATTCAAAGTTCATCAAAGTCAAATAGTGATCTTTCCATTGATTTCAACAGGTTTGCCTGGTGCCTTATGTTTGCTGCTCCATTCTTCATCTCTTTATAGAGTCTTTGTATTCTTTATCTTCTTGCACATTTGTAGGGACTGGAGAAGTCATAGTTGAAGGTAGTGAGGATTTATAGTTAACTCTACATCAGCTGCCAAACTGCATGACTAGGGACAGAAGTTACACATAAACCAGTATAAGCAATCAGAAACCGGTTCAAATCTGTAACTCAACAGAAGTTCAGTGCACATAAACCACTTCCAAATGGCTGACACCAGTTTAAGATAAACCTGGATGGATGTAGTATCAGACTTAACTGATTTTGGTTAAATCAGTTTATTGAATTTCTGTTCTACATCCCCCTCCAGATTCAAGTTAACTCACAATCCTCCAGCATCCCAGGATGCTTTGCACCTCCCTCACAATCCCCACTCAAAGGGTGGGCCAGCTAGCTTTGGCCCAAGCTGTCTGCTCCAGTGGAGCAGGGAGGCATGCTCTAGTGCCCCCCCTCCCCACCACGGAGGGGGTTTCTGGCCTGGGCCACTGCAGACATGTGGCTGCATTTCCTGAATCAAAAGGGAATGTCTGTTCACTTGGTTATCGGTTCACCCTATGCAGTTTAGACTAACCTGCGAAGATTGAATCGATTCAGCCTCGGGCTTTTTGACTGCCTGGACTCAGCCCAGGAGAACTACCTAGTTTAATGCCTGTGACTCTTGGGTCTTTTGTTCAAAAAGCTCAATTTTTCTACCTGTCCATTTTAATTCAGCCAAATCTATAATAATAAAAGAGCTACAGTGACTGAAAGGAAATTGTTTAACCAAGTGGTTCTGTGAACATCATAAACCATAATAGCAATGCCTGAGTAGTGAGTATAATATCTGCAGAGCTCCTGCATGGATCGGTCCTGTGTGAAATACCACAGATCATCAGCCTCAGAGAATGAATGCAGCTTTAAAATTTCAAACTATTTACAATAGTTAAATCATGCCACTGAAACCATTAAAACAGTTTTACTGAGAGCAAAAATGAGTGGGACTTTTGCTCTTGTGAAAGCCAATTCTGTAACAAAGGTCATTCTAAATTCATTTCCCCAAATGTTCAGGCCTCTACCATATCTGAATGTTCTTAAAAAAGATCAGTCAAAATGAAGCCACTGGAGGATTAATTATTATAAAATGGTTTAATATGATGCTATTTTCACTTGTTATATGTCATCATCTAATTCGGATGCAGCATTCTTTCCCTTCCTCAATCTGGCAAAGGATGCAAAAGAAGCCACGAGTGGATAAATGGGTAGAAATACAGACCATAATGGCTTTTACACAATAGTTAGGCCTGATCTTAATGGCAGAATGGAGTGATGTGGCTAGTATTTGGTTATCTTTATCTCCCCAACCTGAAAGACCAAGTACCCATTTACAGCTAGGTCCGCTGGAGGCAGCCTTTGGCACAAGTCTGGAGTATGGCTCACGTTCATGCTTCTGGAGTCAGGCAGGATATCATCACTGCTCTACCAATATGCCCAAGTTATATTGATGATATTGGTAATAACATTATTGAAAAGCAGCACATTTAAATGTCACATACGACATTTTTTGGTTCACAAACGTAAGAAAGTTGTAAGCTCACTTTTGGTGAAGAAATAATGGTTGGTCTCCGGTTTTATTTTGTTAGTTCAAAAGCCTCTAAACAACACAGAACATTTGCTCCTGGGTCTAATGCACTGTAACAAAACACTCAGCTGGATCCCATCTCTAGCCACATATAGCATGAGAACGTATGTTTCAGCTAATGCCGGCAATAATGATAGAATTCCTCCAAGAACAATTTCTTGAGGAAGTTCCTAGATATACGCCATTAGCCCTGTCTGCGCATGGTTCTCCCTCTGCGCACGCGGTCATTTTCTACAAATAATTCCTGTCTCTCTCAGACGAAAGATATCTCACTTTCTTTCTTTTATGAAAAATGCTCCACTTTTTAGATTCCCCCCCAAATCTCATCATGGTCTGCCACCCTGAAGGCTTAGACTCTCTTTGGTGCAAGCTGATACATTTCCACTGTCTGACACCCACTGATCTACTTTTCAAGCCTCACAATACACCTCAGAAATGGTAATAAATTGTGACGCAGCTAATATGACTTGCCCAAACTCACAGAGTCGCCTAACGGCAGAGCTAAGACCCCTGAATTCCTAACTCCTATTCCTGTTTCTGTACCCACTGGATACACTCCTCCTTCTTTCCTGATGGGCAACCACTGCAAAGAATAAAAGGGGCATGCTTTAGTCTCTTGTCTGCACTACAGATGTCATCAGCTTCCATCCAAAAATGTAGCCCCAGCTGTGAATTGGCCTTACCCAGCCTAATCACACAGGGACCGTGTAAATCAGTGACAGCCAACCTTTTTTCTGGCAGACAAGGTAAGCTAGATCCCCTCCCTGAGTGCCACTCCAATCCCTTTATGCTGCCTGATCTCCCTCTCTGCTTTCTGCTCCCTACCCGGTGCTAATTGCACTGCCTATGCCACAGGTCACAGAATCGTAGAGAAGCAGGGCTGGACCAAGGGTCACATTGTGCCTGAGGCAGACTCATCCCTATCCAAACCATCCCATACGAATCCAGTGTCTTATCTCTTAGCAAAACTACCTTGACGCAACACAAGACATAACACCCTAATCTGACATTGGCTGCCTTAGTATCCCTGCTTTACCTATGTCCTGCTGCTGCAAACTTGTTAAAACTATGCTTAAAAGATCCAAGGAAGAGGGTCATGCCCCTTACTACATAAGAAGGCAAAACCCTCCACAGTCCAAAGCAGCCTGACCACAGGGTAAAAGTCCATCTTGACCCTAAATATGGACAGAGCAGAAAGGTAAGACTCTGTAGCCAGGGACCTCCAGGTGTAAGTCCCAGCAGGAGCACTGGCATACCCCAGTCAAAAATCCCAGCCTTGGCTGTGGCCAGTGCCTCTGAGGATGGCTTAAAACAACCTGAAGAAGGACGTTTGTGCCTGAAAACTTGAAAAGAACTATTTTTCCAGCTATTTACTTGGACTAATAAAAGATATCACCTCTACCCAAAGAACCTTGTCTGCCTACGTCCTTAGGCCAGCATGGGTACAACCAACACCAAACAAACCCAGACACACGTAGCAGCAGGAAGGGAAGAATTCCCCACCTGGGCCATGCAGCAACCAGCAAAGCCCAGAAGCATAGGACATACCCATAGGAGAGCATGGGTGCAGCTCTGCCTAGATCATCCCCAACCAATGCTTGTGCAACCTCCTCTTGAACATCTCCAATGTGTTGGAAGAGTATGTTGGGCTGTTCCTCAGGCCCAGATCCAAAGGCATATTTAAATATTAAGGTCTTACTGGAGTGAGGCACTTATTTAGGAGCTGGGGTCCTTCAAGGGAAGGGAAGTTGAGGTTAGATATTAGGGAAAACTCTCTCACTGGGAAGGTAGCAAAACACTGGAACAGGTTACCCAGAGAG